AAGCACTCATCATATTGTTTGATCATAATCATCTCACACACACACACACACACACACACACACACACACACACACACACACACACACAACAAACCAGGAAGAGTGCAATGATGGTGCCAACTTGGGCCAGTGAAGCAACGTCCTCCACAACTAGACTGAAGAACAAAAAGGACAGCAAGTTGTCTATTCTCCTTCCCCCAATTCCCCAGCGCTGTTCCCATCCCCCAATTCCCCAATAAAAATCTTTAAATAAATAAATAATAAAAAGAAGAACCAAGCTCACAGATAACAGAAAACACGTTGGTGGTTGCCCTAGGCAAGGGTGGAAAGTGGGAGAAATGGATGAACTGTTTTATGTTTGTTTTTTAGTTTAAATAAATAAAAATAAATTTTAGAATTTGAAAAAACATAAGGTTTAGATAATATTTTCTTGCCATCTTCTTTGTCATCATAGGGACTAGGTATTTATTATTAATCTTTTCGGCTCACCATTCTATGGCTGAACAGATTAAGTCTCCTAACTCCAGGCTGAATTTTAAGCAGCAAATGTATTTTACACACTATTTAAGAACATTGTTTTGAGAAAGTATAATTTTCCCAAATGTTCTTCAATTAAAACCAAAAGTTTATTTTTTTCTCAGAATGTTTCCCTTAAAGTATCTCTATTAAATCACTGATACAAGTAAAATAAAATGGGGAAAGGTATACACAAACATTTACTAAAGGTGCTATTTCCAGGGATTTTGATTTTTTTCTTTATACTTAAAACTATCAAGCTGCAGGGGGCTGCCGTAAAGCTACCGTGAGTGCCTGGCAGCTGCCGTCAGCTGCTAAGAGTTGCTGTCAGCGGCCAGGACGGCCAGCGACTGATCTGCCTCACCAGGGAAGAGCACAATGATAATACCAAAATGGGCCAGTGAAGCGACACCCTCCCCAACTAGACTGAAGAACAAAAGGACAGCAACTGGTCTGTCTGTTCCCCTCCCCCAATTCCCCAATAAAATCTTTAAAAAAACCACCTACCATTTTCTTACTCAATGAAGAACACTCTAAAATCATAGTTTGATTCAAATTAAACAATCCATTCTAGCCTGGAGGATCTAAGGCAGTCAATTTACATGTACAATTTCTAAGTAGTCTCAACTTACAACCTAAGTACACAGCCTCAAACAAGGAGTTTCTGAAGTCAAAATCCCACATTTATCTAAAGTTTGTAGTTTCCAGGAAAAAGAACCCCGTCTACTTCACAGTCCAGAACTGATGCTCACCCCTTTATACTTAGCCTTGTTTTGCTCTGAGCTTATCAAAGCATTGCTTCACTTACATTTCACCTAACCTGCAAATCTCTCCCAAATCCTAGAACAACTCTCTTCCTTAGATAAGATGTTTCTTGGTTCCTCTGATATGCTATCTCCCTTGTAGCAAGATCCAAAAAACCTGGGTATATAAGACTGCATGTTTGTCCCTGGTGGTCTTTAGCTGATTAGGCTAAGACAGATGACACAGTAATATGATTCCAAAGATATTACGTCTTGCATTAATAAGAGAGCAGCTTCAATTCCAGAGAGAATACTAGAATGTGAGAAAAAAAAGACGAATTAAAACACAGCACCAAGGACTTATTATAAGAGGATACTAAACAGAAGAACAATGTGTGTTTCAGCTACAAACTGGGCTTGGCTGCTTCCATGGATATAATTCTGGAGGGAAAAAAAGACAAAATTAAATCTTGAAATATACATTAAATTTTGGCATCCTAATCCTAAAATAGGCTATTTTCAAACCCTATGAAATTATTCATTCACCTTATGTATGCATGCACTGGGTCTGTGGTATTCATCATTACATAAATTTGGCTAAAATAAAAGCTATCTCTGTGTTATTATTTGTCTTTTCATTTTACTTAAACTATGTTTTCAACAACAGAATATGTGAGAAAACTAGTATTTCAATGTATAAGACCATAAAGTACAATAATGTAAGTTCCATCAAGACAGGGACTTTGTTTTTATGATTATATCTAATAATGCCTAGCACAGTGCCTAGAAACAATAGATGCTCAAGTACTTGATCAATATTATGTTTAGCTGAAGGCTGACTTTCATTCTTAGCCAGGATAGTCAAAAGGACTCACCAAATGGGATAAGGAACTTCCCCCTTTGAAGAACTCTGCACCTTCCTTTCATCAATTGAAGCTCATTTACAGAAAGATTCAAAATTCAAAACTAAATCTAATTCCTTCATATGCTGGCACTGGTCTCACAGGATAATAATCATTAAGGTTAACTTTGGCATACAATGGAAAGAAATCCTGGACTTTCCTTACCACATGTCCTGTGTGAGGATTCTTATGAGCATACGGTGGTCCTCTGATATGATTCCACATTTGACCAGATGTCATAGCAAGCACAAAACACTAGGAAAGAAAAAATAATGAAATATTCATATAACATGGTGAAGCTGTCCCCACCCTGATTAAATTGATAGGTATATAAAAATTGTATCTGCTCAAGTAATACACGAAGAACAATTTTTTCAGATAAATCACTTGTTGATTAAGGCTTATATTTCTCCACAAGGATCACAAGAATAATATTTACTATGAAAGGAAAACACCATTTTAAAATTATAAATAAGCTGACAGAAGTTTCAAAATTGAATACAGAAAAGCCTTTTAGAATATTTTTAAAAGAATAGCAGGATTTCACAGAAGTGACAGTCTATCGTTTAGTTTGAACAAAAACTGAGTACAATCAGTTCCTCCAAGCTCTGGCCTAATAAGATAGTGTAGGAAAGGAAACACACTGATTTTAATGCATTATATATATATATAGATAGATAGATAGATATAGATATAGATACACACACACACACAGTTTTCCACAGATAAGAAATAAACAAAATGCTACCTAACAATAATATTATTAGGAGTTTCATTCAAACAATTTTCTTCTAAAATTCACTCACCAAAGCTGCAAAAGCCCATCCAGTTTTATTAAAGAGAAACTCCATATTGCTTCTTCGAAGATATACAAGTCCACCAATAACAGCCAAAAGCAATCCCAACATAAGTGGACCAGCATAATTTGGAGGTCTGATTACTCTAATCTAATGGAAAGAATAGAAAAACATTTTAAAGCATGAAATTTATTCATTAATTACTTAGGTCAAAATAATTTGAAATGAAAGCAATCAAAATCAACATAATTATTTTCAGGAAAAAATACATTTTTCTTTTTTCATCCTAACCAAAAAAGTCTATAATGTATCCTAACATGAGGTGGAATAAGTACAATATTCTGTTTAACCAAAACATTACATCTTTTAGATCAAGAAATATTTGCCAAGTACAACTAGATAGACCATTGACTTAGTAAGGTCAAAAGAGTGGATTCCATGTTGAATTCAGTAAAATAACAGAGGATGTTTTGTAATTTCACAGTTTCAGCACAATGATTCTGTTACATGTTACTTATGAAGAGACTGCCCAACTACTGTCATCTCAGTGATATGGGGAAAAGACCACTTATGACCACCCAATAAGATTCAAAGTGAATAATGGCAAAGTAACTTTCTACAAAGTAGGGAAACTTACATTGACATCAGTTCTGTCAGCAATCCACCGGGCAATTTGCTCAGCTGAAAAACCACGCACCTGCAACTCATATGTATCACCCCGTTTGGGTTTCCCTTTTGCAGGAAAGTTGATGAAAGTTGGAGCTGAATTCATGTTTAGCTAAATAAAAAGTAGTCCATGAAAATATAAGTTATCAAGAAAATAATCTTAACAGCCAATATTATCTTGAAAATTAGGTATTTTATAAAGATGAGGAAGCCCAGGTTTAGGTAGGTTAAGTGACTTGTCTAAGGAAAGTGGAATATGGTGGAGCCAGAATGCAAACCCACTGCTGCCTGTGACCTTAATTAGTACACTTTACTGACCAAATATAATTTCCTAGCTAAGAAACCTACATTTTACTCCTTTAGAATGGAAAAGCTCACATACTACCAACATTTTAATCTGTTCAGAGATTATGCCAAAAAGAATACATTTATGAGAATTAAAATTGTCTTATGTAACGAGACAGGCTCCAAATAGAGTACATTCTCAATTTGGAGGCATTAAGATCACACAGGATAAGATAGGACTCTAAAATTGCAATCAAAGCCAATAGAATCCCAGACAAGAAAAAGCTAAAGGAGTTCATCACCACAAAACCAGTATTACAAATAATGTTAAAAGGACTTCTTTAAGAAGAAGGGGGAAAAAGGAACATAAATATGAATAGTATTGGGTTGTCGGGAAAGTCATATTTGTCTATGTTTTTCAATGCAAAAACATATCATGCTTTCCTGACAACCCAATAAAATGGCAATAACCATGTACCGATCAATAATCATTTTAAATGTAAATGGCTTAAAAGCTCCAATCAAAAGACATAGGGTAGGGGGCTGGCCGAGTGGCGCGATGGTTAAGAACTGGCTTGGGACGCCAGAGGGCCCCGGTTCGGATCCCACACATGAGGGCCACCTCCACAACTAGATTGAAGAACAAAACGACAGCAACTTGTCTGTTCCCATTCCCCCAATTCCCCAATAAAAATCTTAAAAAAAAAAAAAGACATAGGGTAGGGCTGGCCAAGTTGCTCAAGTGGTTAAGAGCTCGCTCAAGAGTTTGAACTCTGAGCAACAGCGGTTTGAGTTCTGGCCCGAGCTGAGCTGCCGCTGAGGTGCCAACAGGTGGCAGGATTGCTCAGCTAAAAGAAAAAAAAAGACATAGGGTAGCTAAATTGATAAGAAAATAAGACCCCTACATATGCTGGTTACAAGAGACTCATTTCAGATTGACAGACACGTACAGAGGGAAAGTAAAGGGATGGAGAAAGATATTTCATGCAAATAGAAATGAAAAAAAGCTGGAATAGCAATACTTGTAACAGAAAAAATAGACTTTAAAACAAAGGCTATAGAAAGAGATGAAGGACATTTCATGATAAAACAGCAATCTAACAAAAGGATATAGCCCTTGTAAACATCTGTGCACCCAATACAGGAGCACCTAAATATATAAAACAAATATTGATTGACATAAAAGGAGAGATAGACAGTAATACAGTCACAGTAGGGGACTTGAACACTCCATTGTCATCAACAGATAGATCTGCCAGACAGAAAATCAATAAAGAAACAGCAGCCTTAAATGACACATTAGAACACATGATATGTAAGCAACCTAAGTGCCCATCAATGGAAGATTGGATAAAGATAGTGTAGTACATATATACACAATGGAATATTACTCAGCCATAAAAAAATGGAATCTTACCATTTGCAACAACACAGATGTACTTAGACGGTATTATGCTAAGTGAAATAAGTCTGTCTTTAAATTATAATAATTTTGTACAAACCAATCTCCATTATTATAATCAAACTCCCTTGCTTTGATTCTCTACTCACAAAACCCTTCTAACAGTAATTTTTTTTAGACTTTCCCATAATGGGAGAGGGTACACTGATTAGTGGATGTGATTATTTTGGTCTCCTTGACAGTACAACATGGTGAATAAATGAATTAATAGATTAGCCCCTTGGTTACCAATGTCCATGGATTTTCATGGTTTGGTGAGTGTGCACAAAGTTTCCAGAGCTAAATAAATTCTGGGTACACTGCTAAAATTCCATTTCTGAGTCTCCAAAGCTAAGAACACAGTGTTCACTCCACCAAACGGTTGCCCAAATTTTAGGCCAAACTCTTCAATATTTGTTTAGCTATACCACCTTTTTATTTCTTTTAAAATATGTTTAAAAACACCAGGTAATATATGAATGCATTTTCCTTGTGAAAATTTAAAAAACATAACAGTATTAAGAACCAACCCCAGTCTGTTCTTGCAGGCACTGTTATCATTTCTAGAGCTTTCTGAATTTATTCATATATATGTATACCAACAGAAAACATAATATTGCTTTGTGTCTGCTTTAACACAGTAACATGTTAACTGTATCATTCTGCAATTTTTTTAATTGGGGAATTGGGGGAGGGGAACAGTGCTAGGAAATTGGGGAGGGGGACCAGCCAAGTTGTTGTTCTTCAATCTTAGTTGTGGAGGGCACCAGTCACCATCTGGCTGCCCGTCGGAAGCTCGTGGCCTCTAAGTTCAAGGTGCTGTGTTAAATCTTATGCGGGTGGGCATAGCCACCATCCCATGTGGAAGTCAAACCTGGCAGCCTTGTTGTTAGGGGCGCATGCTCCATTCACTGAGCCATCTGGGTGGCAGCACAGCTCAAGATGCAGAGTTCAGTCTTAGTTGCGGGTGGGCGTAGCCCACCATTGAACAGGCAGTCTTGTTAGAAGCATGTGCTCTCACCAGCTGAGCCATTTTGCCACCTGTTGGCAGCTCAGCTCAGGTGCAGCTTCAGTGTCCCATGTGGAAATTGAACCTGCTTCCCTGTTGCTCAGAGCTCTCACTCTTTTTTCTTTTTTTTTAAACGGAACCGAACCGGGCCCTCTGGCATCCCAAGCCAGTTCTTAACCAATGCACCACTTGGCCGGCCCTCAGAGCTCTCACTCTTAAGCTAACTCTTAACCAACTGAGCCACTTGGTGGGCCTTGCAATTTGCTTTTATTTATTCAACCATATCAAGAGATTTATCCATGATAGTACATGTATATCAACCTCACTTATATTTTATTATTTAATTATGCTATCATTAGACTTCAAGGGGTTTTTCCAATTATAAATCATGTTGCAATGAACAGCCATATATTGGATTGCCGGAAAAGTCATGATGTATTTTTTCTATGTTTTTCATTGCAAAAATGCATCATGACTTTTCTGACAGCCCAATACATATCTCCTTGTATAGACCTATGAGACGGTTTCTAGAGAAATGGAATTGTTAGATCACAGGGCAGAAACATTTAAAATTAAAATTGATAGATAGAGCCAACTTGCCTTACAAAGTGGCTTTACCAATTTATACTTCTACTTATCAATGTGGGAAATTATCTGTTTCCCCACATTCTTGCCAAAAGTTGATCTAAGGGGTAAATATTGTATTGTAATTTGTATTTTCATGATTACTAATGTAACATCTTTGTACTAAATAAGTTCTTTAAAAATATCTTGTAGGCTAAAGACACAATCAACAGAGTGAAAAGGCATCTATAAAATAGAATATATCTGCAAATCATACATCTCATAAGGGGTTAATATCCAGTACATATAAGGAAACCATATAATGTAACAATAAAAAAACCCCAGATTTAAAACTGGGTAAAGGATATGAATAGACATTTCTCCAAAAAAGATATATAAATAGCCAATAAGCACATGAAAAGATGCTCTATATTATTAATCATTAGGGAAATACAAATCAAAAACAAAATGAGGGCCGGCCGAGTGGCGCGATGGTTAAGAGCTGGCTTGGGACGCCAGAGGGCCCGGGTTCAGATCCCACATATGAGGGCCAGTGGCACTGCCCCCTGCAGCTAAGATGGTGAATGGCAGCTTGACCTGGGGCTGGGCTGCCGTGTGTCACCGGCAAAGGCATAGGCTGTAGCCCCTGTGGCAGTGGGTTGCCATGGGCTACCGTGTGTAGCCAGCAGCCAGCGTGAGCGGCCAGCAGCCGCAGTGAGCGGCCGTCCAGA